TCATGCTCTTGGGATTCAGTTTGAAGAGAAAAATCCAATTCTCTAAAAAGAGCTATGATTGCAAAACTCAAATTATGTAAACGGGGTACTCTGATTCAGTGGCTCATGGTTGACTTCAGCTGGGGAGGAGAAAACCCTAACTACTTTTCAAAGCACCATGTGACGTGAGCATTCATTTTGCTTTCTGACATGGAAGAAGAATTTCTGGAAAAAATGTACGCTTCTGCTAACATGCCAGCATTATCTTCTGAATCTTCTAACATGGGTTAGATCCCACTGCTTTCCTCAGCGGCTCCTCTCATTCATTCTAGAAAGTGGCACAGCCATTAGGAACAGTCTCTATCACCAAGTCTAATGTGGCTGCCCTTAAATGCGTGTCCCCGAGAAAAACAGCAACAGGGTTTCTTTCCTCTCTTATACAAGAAGGTGATTTGAGTCACACAAGGGAGGTGTCGTGGGTTAACTGTGTCCCCCTAAAAGAGATGTTGCAGTCCTAACCCCAGTACCTGTGAATGTGACCTTATCTGGAAATAGGGCCTTTGTAAATGTAATCAGATTAAGATGAAGTTGACTGGAGTGGGGTGGGTCCTTACCTATGGTTGGTGTCCTTACAAGGAGAGGGAAATTGGGGTCCAGGGACACAGGAAGAAGACCACATGCCTCTGGAGGCAGAGATGCGGGTGGTGCATCTACAAGCCAGGATCACCAAGGATTTCTGGCAGCACGAGAAGCTAGGGAGAGGCACAGAACAGGTCCCTTCTTGGAGTCTCCAGCAGGGTTAACCATGCAGACAACTTGCTTTCAGACTTCTGGTCCCCAGGCCTGTGAGAGCGTACATTTCTGTTGCTCTAAGCCCACCCAGCTGGTAGTAATGCTACGGCAGCTCCAGGAAACGAAAACAGAAAGTGAGTACTTTTTCCCTCAAACGTAACACTGGGGTCATCTAAGATGGGAAGGTCATGTCCCAGCTCTGCGGGGGACGCAGCCAGGCTTCTGAGCTGGTGGCCCAGGACAGATGAGGAATCAGCGATAGTTCCCGTCACACATACTGGTCTGAGCATGAATCCACAGCTATGCCCACGCTGCCTGGGTTAGCTCATCCAAAGGGCTGATAAAAACCAACCCTTACCCAGAGAAAGCTCTGGGGAAGGGATAGGCATTCGCTGAGCCATCAAAGACAAAGCACGGAAGTGTGAGACAGTATGTTCAGTGCAGGGAACGCTAAGATCTCTTTGTGTTAAGAGTAGAAATTGCAAGGAATCAGAAATGGGAATAGAAACACCAAATATAAGGAATGTGCTTTTCAAATTGTGAAGAGCTGAGCAAATATTAGGTATTTCCATCATCACCCTTCTTAGTGGGTTAGTGAGAAGACAAGTAAGTGTGCAAATCAAAAGCTTATTGGTATTTCCTGGAAAATCATTATAAAGTGTTACATCATAACACAGTATTTTGGATGCATCTAGCTTCAATGCCAGACCCTAGAGATCTGGAAAGAAATCTAAACATCTGTACATTAAATATATGGGTGAATTTCCACAAGGTTCTACAGCATCTGGTTTACAGGTGTTCCTCACGCAAGCATTCAGTGACCATCTGAAACCCATGTCTTATAGACAGAAATACTGGCACACGTAAGAGGGCCTCGCTAGGTAAGGAGTGGACGTAAGCATTGCAAACGTGAGTCTTTCCTCACCTACGCTATTTTAATCTATCGTGTGCAAAAGTATAAAAATAATGTATGCCTTTTAAAATTTTTACATCATAAAAATTAAGAATTTAAGAATTACAGGGGTGCCTGGGTGGCTCGGTTGGTTAAGCATCTGCCTTTGGCTCAGGTCATGATCTCGGGGTCCTGGGATGGAGCCAGAGTTCGGGGGGGGGGTTCCTGCTCAGCGGGGAGCCTGCTTCTCCCTCCACCCCCTCCACTTGTGTGCATGCGTGCTCTCTAATAAATAAAATCTTAAAAAATTATACGGAAATACAGAAATGACAAGCCTCGAGAAAGCACAGACTATAAAGGTTAAGAAGTGTTGGAGAAGACAGCACAGGATGATGAGACTAAGTTAGTGTGATGATGAGGGAGGAGATCACCGCATGCCAGGGGAAGGACCACACGCCAAAGGGCGAGTTACACAGCCGCACTCCCTGCAGACAACTGACAGTGCTAGTCAGCTGGGATCCAGTTACCACTCCAAGCACCGTCCTGTAAGTTAAGGGGACAGGGCCACAGCAGATGAACTCACCAAAACCTCTCATAATGGAAGGTGCATAGACAGGCAGAGGCGTTTATATGGGGGTGTTGCAATTTTGCGACCTTGCAGGCGCTTGCATGATCCCCAACCCCGCCGACCCCGCCGCGTGACGGCCCGAGGCTGCGCTGAGTGGGCATCTGTCTTGGCTGGTTGCTGTCCACCCTGTCCTGGTTCTAAATCCTTGGGCTACCACCTCCTCCGCTGTCCATACTGAACCGTTCACAGCTCCCTGTGGACGGGCCGAGCAGCTGTGAACGTGAAGCATTCCCCGATCTCCCCTCCCCTAATTCACAGAGAATCCACTAATGTCATCATGTTTTTCTTCAGCCCAAATGGGGAGGATTCTTTGTTGGTGGTGCTGTTCTGGCTGCGTCTCAGAGGCCACGTTAATCTACCCAGTGCTGCAGGAGCAGAGAAGGAAAGCCTCTCGAGCCGGGGGTGGGGACATTATTTTGGTCAGAGGCTTATAGGAGTCTCCAGAGTAGCTTTGGGGTGTGAAAGAAATACACAGGGGATGAAGTTTAATGAACGCTACTGTGGGCTACACATATGGGCCTACTTTAATCTCTGCTGAGAAACATGGGGGTAAATAGAATTATTGAGACTTAATTTTGGTTGTTAAATGGGACTTCTTAAATGCAAGCCTCTGCTGGACAGGTGGGGGCTCCCAGGCTGAGTGGGGGGATCCTCCATACAAGTCAGCACTCCGCTGGACGGATGGGGGCTCCCAGGCTGTGGGGGACCTGCCGTGTGGTCTTAGCACTTCTGGACGGATGGGGGCCCCCAGGCCTAGTGGGGACCCTCCACATGATCTCTAAGCCCTTATGGTTGGATCTAGGCTCACAGGCTGGGGGTGGGGTGGGCACCCTCCATGCGATCTCAGTGCTCAGCTGGACAGATGGGGGCTCCCAGGCTGTGAGGGGACCATCCACGCGATCTCAAGGCACCCCCATGCCCCTCTCATGCTGCACCCTCCCCACTACACTGCACTTCATGCTCTGAATCCCACCCTCGCCTTCATTTGAGGTGCCACCTCATCCGTGAGCCTACCCTTGCTTCTTCATCTCCAACACAACCCCCAAGCAATCAGACTCTTGGACAGTGTAATCACTCTCTTTGGGAGCTTCACCCCGTGGCAATTACCAGCAATGCTGGTGGAGGACACCGGAGGCAGGACCCGGATTAGCTCTCACGGCCGCTAAGTCCCCCTAACCCCGCCCGGGGCCCGAGGGTTCGCTGCTGTAGGCTTTGTACACTTAAGCCTTTTTAGAAAATCCGTTTTTCAAAATGAGGTTTTGGGGGCAAGGTTAATTTGGGAATTTGAGTTACTTTAGCCAGAAAATAGGTTAATATAAAAAAAATATTTACAGAGAAATTTTGTAGACAAGGAGCTAGTTTATGCTGATGTTAACATAAGGCAACACACTAAATATTTAAATGGATTTTAAATGACGGATCCTTGTCTGGGACGTTCTTTTTTAAGTTCACTTCGATCTCTCCCTTCTGCATTTTGTTAGGACGCTTCTCCTCCTGGAGACAAGACTACGGATGTCTGATTTCGTGGCTCCAGTCAAGCTGCTGTCTCAGGTCCTGGCGGGCCGGCTTGCCATTTTCCCATCTCTGCCACATAAACCTCCACATTTCCCCAAGTTGTAAGCTCCTAAAGATCCTGCCATGGGGTGGCAGGAGTCGCTGGCCTGGCAACCAGGAGACCTTGATACACCTGACTTCCCGTGGAGTTTGGTAATAACCTTCGAGGGGCCAAGGCGGGGCTAAAGTTGTATTTCAGAGGCCCCCCCCACACCGTTTGTCTCCCCATTACCTTGGGAGAATGTCTGGGGCTGAGCCTGTGGTGGCCAGGGGGCTGAGTCGTCCTGTTGTATGGCTTCTCAAGACTTTGGAAGACACTCATAAAAAGAGGGTGAGGTCGTGCCCTGGTGAGCACCTGGCAGAGGCTAACGAGACCGCGCTCCAGCAAAAATTCTCCATTCTCCACCCACAACTCGCAGGACTGAATTGCTCCCGGCCTGGTCAGTCCCATCTGCGGCACGGTCTCATCCTCTGAGGCGATCTCAGTGGCTCTTCTTTGACATATACTTTGTAACAACCATGTTGATTAGCACTTACCTTTTCATGGGTTCATACCTTATCTTTCTAGCATAGGAGAACAAGATGCAAAGATACTGGTTTGTCCACTGTGGGACATGGCTACCGTTCTGTGTCTGCTGACCGGTGTGATTAGGAACTTTCTGGGATAAATCATCCGTGAATTAGGTCACAGGAGAATAATTTCTTTCCTGTCTGAGACTGTTTTCTATCACCTCCATCCTTAAATATGCTTGAGAAGTTGATCTTTGAAATTCCTTTATTACCTTTCTACATGGCCTGCGTTCATCAAGGTGTGAGATACTCACGCACCCACTTCCCAGGACTGTTTGTGGAAAATGCTGATGAACTTTGGGATTAACAGCGTGCAAACACGGGGATGGGCTGTAAACCATGAGGGCAGGTGTAAGACCCACCGAGGGCTGGTGCCGAGACCTGCTGGTGGGAGCCCGGACAGGCGTCCGGGCAGAACCCCCTGTTCTGGGACACGCTTCCACCGCTGGCCAACACTGCACCTGCTGGCGGCCCCGCATACCAGCGACCGGGCAGGACTCCCTCCCCCCGTTCTGGGACCCGCTCCCACCGCCGCCGCCTCCCCTGCCCACCATCGGCGTGCTGGCCTGCCACGCCCCGGCTTACCTTCACACTTGAGCAGGAAGAAGTCGGCGCTGTGGCTGAAGGACGCGCTGAAGTACGTGCAGTTCTCCAGCAGGTCACAGGACAGGCACTGCCTGTTGAAGGTGCCCACCGTGCTGGCGCTGGAGGAGCACAGACAGCGGGCCGTGAACCCGGGCGGCGGGAACCAGGCGCCGCGGACAAGGTACAGACCCCCAGCCTGGCTGCAGCGCTCCCCACGCGCCCCGGGGTCCCCGACGCTGTGCCTGCGCCTGCGCGCTGGGCCTCTGCATCGTCTCCCCGGAACACTCCGGAACACTCCAGAACACTCCGCTCTGCGTCCAGCTTCCTGCCCCGCGGGCGCCCCAACTCCGAAGAGCTCGGCTCTCAGCATGTCTGCTCTCCAGGGGCGCGCTCTCCGGTGCGCACTGGGTCACCCGCGCGTTCATCAGGCCCGTGCGCCCCCACTGGGGGGGGGCACAGTGCTCGGCCCCAGGCCCTTTGGAGAGGAGGAGATGGCTTTCCGGATCTCTGGATTGTCTCCGAGGGCCGAGCGCCGGGAACCCCCGGGAACCCCAGAGACACGGGCTGAATTGAACTCTGGCCGTTGGGAGCGGGATCTCCCGCAGAGTCGCACCGAGAGCTGGTGCTCCCCACTCGGTGGGGCCGGGGGAGCAGGAACCCCGGGACCACGCTCAGCAAGCACAATTTCACATCAAGAGGGCCTGAAATGTGTTTCCAAAAATGAAGATACTGAGGAGTCACTCCACACACCTGGAGGGAGTTCCTGCCTGAGCATCTTGCAGGGGAAGGGTCAACTCTGACCCCAGGCCCCACCGGAAACCTGTCTACAGGGGTTGATCCTTCGTGCCAGACAGAAGAGGGCCTTCTAGCCTATGTATAAGGTAGAGGAGAAGGTAGGCGGTCTGCCTTGATCGCCTTCCACCCTGTGGGGGACAGGACTGATCTAAGTTATCCTGGCAGACACGCAGGGCTACACGGAGAAGCCTGCCTGTGACCCATGGGTTTGCCAGTTTTCCTCCCTCCAAAAGGATTCCCCTGAGCCCGGCTTTTACACTCTCAGCATATGCACCGGCGGGTGGGAGGGGCTGCTGGTCCACCTGATGGGCTTCTCCAGTGTCCCCGCCATGAGGAGGGAAGCCAGACTTGGGCTCCATCCAGACCGTGAGTCACCCTCTCTGGCCCTCGGGTACACAAGGGGCGGCTGGTGTGCACGTAGGCCACCACCCACCCGCTGCTACCTCCTTCTAGTCTGGAAAACATCGAGCAAGTAAAAGTTGCCCTATTTCCACCTCTGGTGACCCCGTCGCAGAGCCCGACACCTGCTCTGGGGAGAACAGTCACTGGGGCAACACTGAAGAGGGACCGACCCTGGGAGAAGTCTCCTTTCCAGGATTCGGATGTCACCCCCTCTGCCTTCTCTGAGGTTACGGAACTGACCGGGTCACAGCGGGTCGGCCACGATGTGGGGTCGGTAGAGCTGGCCTCCGGCAAACGCCCTACCAGACCTGCCTCCGACCAAACCCACTGAGAACGAGCGCCCCAAGTCATTCTTGAACAACAGTGAGAAGGAAAGACCGTCAGTTATCAACACGAGAAAGTGAGTCGGGGGAGCTCGTTTGACAGAAGCAGAAAAAGAAAAGCTTCACATGCGGTGGTCTCTGCAATTCTTGCTCACAGTCTCTGGACGTTACAGGGTTGCCCTGTGGGGGGTTTGCCCGGCGCCTCCCCTGGTGCCCTGCGGCCAAGCCGAGGACCTCCTGGGTCGGTGCCCACGCACCTGTAGAGCTGTCTCCTCCTTGGCAGGTCTTCTGTGCTCAGGAAGTAGCTGCAAAGACCAGCAGGTGCACAGGGATCAGTGGGCTCCAGGGCAGGCTTGCTTTCCACCGCCAGGCTCTGCCTGCACTTCCTGGGGACTTCTGAAGGTGCATGGGGACAGGCCCGACTCTCCTGCTCAGGCCCAGCCCCGCGTGTGCAGGCGGGGAAAGCCACAAGCCACACACCTGGGAGCGGGGGCAGGGGTGCGGGCTGTGCCGGGGGTGAGGATGGTGACGCGTGTCCCTGGACTCAGATGCAGGAATTTCTCTACAAGATTGTTAGCCTCCTGGAGGGGCAGGACCCAGCCAGGTAATCTCAAAGCCTGAGGCAACGACACCGGAGGAGTGGTGTTCACCTGCCACGCGGAGCACGGGCGGGACCTGGACTCTGGTCACAGGATCAGGGAGGAGGAGCGGCATCCCGGCCTGGCCTCTGCCATCTGAGCTGCACCCTAGCTCCCCCGTTACCGTCTGAATAATCGGAATCACCTGGGGTCAGTGACTTGACTTCTCATTGTTTCTGCTTGCTTGTTTTTGGACAGGGGAGCCTGTAACGGAGCCCATGGGACCGCTGTGCGGAACCAGAGGATGCTCCCGGGGCACTTTGCGCACCGCCTGCAACTCGCAAACGGCACACGGCAGGCCTGCTGCGACCGCCACCCATTTCTCCCTGCAGGTCTGGCCGCTCAGCTCCCCCTGCTCAGTGTCTTGCAACTTTGGAAGTGGGGCCCTCGAGACACTGGACCTAGGGAGTCCCGTGTGACTGAAAGGAAGGGCCCGTCTTGCAGCACTGGCCCGAGCCCTGGGGCTGGAGGCCTGCCCACTGCCGCGGCCGGCCCTACTCACATCTTATTCCGCTGCTCGTCGTAGGCCAGGATCTTGGTCACGTCCCAGTCCCCGGAGGTGATGGATTGTATGTTGTCATTACTGCTGTTAGGCTGGAGCACCAGACGGTACATGGGGGAGCTGGCGAGCCCCACCCGCGCCTCGTTCCTAACCCAGGAGCCCCGCACCACGGGGGGTGCCGTGGGGGTGCCGTCTGCCCCCCGCCTGGGGCCAGCCCCTCCACCGAGCCTCCGCTCACCACCACCCCGGGCCCCAGCCCTCTCCCCTTCTCTGAACGTCAGCAACACAGGGACTGGCAGAGTCCGCGTCCGTGGAACCCGCCACCCACTCCCCCGACGGCCAGTGCCTCCAGCTGCAGCACATGTGTCTCCTGAGACACGAATGCTGCGTAGGCGGCCGATGCCGTTCTTTACAATGTGTGATCCCGCTATTGGAGTCTCTGCCATAGGGAGACTGGGAGGGAGGAAAGAGAGAAATGTGGGGAAGGGAATGAAACGGGGCAAGGAGACGGAGGAGAAAGGAAGTGGGGAGGGAGGGAGGGAGGGAGGGAGGGAGGGAGGAGACGTGTCTGCCATTCTCTGCCATCATGTACAAGGATGGCTCGAAACCGTTTTACGGAGTGTTGCACTCTCTCGCCCTGAGTGCCTCACAGAGTAGAATAATTATGACAATAAACTGGAAGGGAGGGATGCATGACCCTCCCGGCAGGAACGGTGTGATCTGGAATGGGCGTGGAGGGGCTGGTGTGAGGCACAGGCCCTCCGTGCTGGACGGCAGGTGCTGGGGGGGCAGGTGGGAATCGGATGCTGAGTAAGTCAGGTGGGGCCCGTGGGGGTCTTGGGAGCAGGGAGAGCCTGCAGGGAGCAGGGGAGTCTGGATGGCAGTGGGGGCCCTGGGACAGAGGGTAAGGGGACAGCCCAGCGGGTGGGGAGGAAGGGTGGAGGGCACAGAATCGTCAATCAAAGCCGTAGACCTGAGTCCTCGGGTCCCACAGTCTCCTGTCACACTGTCAGAAGTGCCATTGTTGAGCGATCTTTGAGCCATAATAGGAAGGGCCAATGCGACCCACTGCTCTGAGCAGGACCCCCGGACTTTGTGAGCCCCATTCTTTTTTTTTTTTTTTAAAGATTTTATTTATTTATTTGACAGAGAGAGAGAGCACAAGCAGGGGAGTGGCAGGCAGAGGCAGAGGGAGAAGCAGGCTCCCCGCAGAGCAGGGGGAGCCTGATGTGGGACTCGATCCCAGGACCCTGGGATCATGACATGAGCTGAAGGCAGTCGCTTAACCAACTGAGCCACCCAGGCGCCCCTGTGAGCCCCATTCTGCCCCACCTTCAGGAACCTACCTTCCAGCGCCCGAACCTGGGGCTCGCTCCGGGGCCCTTGCAGATGACAAGAGTGCACAGAGCGGTCACCACGAGGGGCTGTCACCAGCACAGCAAAGAGTTTTAGAAACGGTCAAGATTACCTGGGATGATGACACGGTGATGTGATAGAATTTTCCTTGTCCCCCCTGTGGGATGGCTCGGACAAAGAAGAACTTTCGGCCATCCTTGGAGAACACCGGTTCTTCATTCTGTGGATGAAAGCAAAGGATGTAGTCTATAAAAAGGCTTCATTTTGAAGAGGTTGACCATGACAAAATACATTTTGAGATCCATTTTCTATGTAATTTCTAAGGAGAGATCCGGTGGGAAGAATGAACGGTGGGTGGGGCCTTTCCTCTCCTTGGGACTCACGAGTCAAGCCTATCTTCTAGGAGAAGAGGAAGATTGAAGAATTAAGCAGAGACAGAGAAAAACATCCTTTGTTAGAGAAGCATCCATAGAGCGGACTTGTGTGCGCATAGGCTGACGGGACAGAGTCGGCTGTGGGTGCGGGAAGCTCAGTGAAAGCCCAGCGCAGGGCAGGGCAGGACTTCTCAGGGAGGGGAGGGGATTTATCATCCATCGTGAAGAACGTGGTTCTGAACACTCACAAATCTGATTTTGCCTAAACATGAATTCTACACGTTCGGTCCTGTCTTTTGTTCTTTTATTTCATAAAACCTATCTCACACCAAATAGCCCACCAGGGTGACAAGTAAAAAGAGAAGGACAAATTTCGCACATTCTAAGATGCAGGTGCAGGGAACAGTCCTTTCAGGGACCTCTAACACACACAGGCGTGTGCTGGGATCCGCCACCACTTTTCCCTGGAAAGAAATCAGCATTCCCAGCTCTCCCCAGAGGAAGGAAGTCCAGGCTGGATTCAAAGCCGAGACCTGCAGCGCGTTGCCCTCGTCTCTGCGTGGCCCCCCAACGCCGAGCAGTCACGGCTCAGCCCCGCCGGCCCCAGGGCCCAGCTAACCCTCGATGGGGAAAAGGCATTTGTTACGGCGGCACCTCGGCATCTCTGGAGCTCCAGCCTGGAAGTTTCCATCCGTGAACGCCAATTAGTTGGCTACGATACATATTTTCTGATTCAAGGAGCTCCACGCTAATGCGGGCTGAGAACAAATGGTAAATAAGCCCCAGTTGGTGCCAGGAGCACACATTTCCCTGCAATGAGTGAATGCGTACCCGCAAATGCGATGCGCCCAGAGAAATAAACTAACATGTGATTAAAATGACATTTAATCTTCATGAATATTTGCAATAAAATGAAACCTTTAATCTGCAAATATTTATTTTTCTATTTAGAGCTGGCAGCGTGGTATTTAAAAGCAGAGGGAATGGGAAAGCGAGAGGTGACTTTGGCTTTTTAAATGTCCTTCTATTTGCCAACCGCGGGACGGATACTGCAATATTGCCTCGGTTTTCTGGGGGAAATGTTTGCACTTTTGGCAGAGAAAAATACTCTGAATGAAGGTAATAAATAATTAATTTTGGCCAGATGCTTTGCTGTTACACTGAAAAGGCCCTCATCATTTTGATGTCATCTTTACACTGATGAGGGAGGGCTCTGCACCAGCCCCGAGCCTCTTGGAGACCTGGTTTCTTGGGCAGTAAATGTATTCTCAGTGAGAAAGCGCAATGGTTTTTGAGGAGGGGATCCAGATGTTAATCCTGCTTCTGACTCTCCTGGGTTTTGGGGGAAGCGTTTTAGTCTCTCTGCGTTAACAGGGAGTCTCTTGTGCACCAGGCCTAAGTCTGTCCACGCCACTCGCAGCAGATCAGTGAAGAAAGAGATTCGTCGTGAGTTATCTGTATCGTGTTTGCCAATTCCTTCCAGAGAGTGGTTCAGATACACTCACCTTGCCCAATCTCCCAGCCTGGATTCTGAAATCACAAAACCAAAATTCTGGTAAAAGAAGAAAGACTGTCAGATGTTGGCCCATAGGCCAACCCTTCAACCAGAGGATGGGTTCTGGGACTCTACACTAAATCCCCATGGATCTGCATCAGGATGACACTGCAAGGTCATGGTTGGTGGTGATGGAATATGTGTGTGTAGGGGGGGCGGGGGGGCTGCCTATTCTTCTGGAATATTCCTAGAAGAGAGAGAACTGGGTAGACCTCCACCTGTGGGACACACACACACTCGTCTCCTTTTGTTGGCTCATGGAGATCCCCGTGGGGTTCATGCAGCAGCCTCAGGAAGGACAGGGGAGGAAAAGAGAGGGGATGGAGGCTCAGGTCTGCTCCAGCCCACCCCTGTTTGCCTGGCAGCCAGGGATCAGAAGACTGTTGATCCAAGCAGACTGGGTCTCCCGAGGTCGATGGGACGTCCCACACTGTTCTCTCCAGGATACAGTGCCCTGCTCGGTGAGCAGACAGCTGTCAGCCTTGAACACATTCCTAACTCACCCTCCAGAACCTCACGGTATCTTGAGGGATTCAGAAAGGCTACAGATTGAAAGCCAGGGTCCATCAATTCCTTTAGGAAACATCTCTTTGAAAGGAATGTCATGAGAAACTGTTGAAACTGGATTTTCCTACTGCCCCCAGAGTTGTGTGTTAGTGATGCCTGAGGCGTGGTACCCACAGAAATCAGGGCCTCCCCATGCTCGCCAGACCAGACCCGGGGATGCACCAGCTTGGAGGAAGCAATTCCTTTATGGGATGTGCCATCTTCCACTCAAAACGGCATGACGTGGTTTCCAATGGCTGTTTTAAAAACGTTAGCTGTTTGCTCAGTAAGTGCTTTAAAGTCTACATTTTAGAAGTGCAATTCTTCATGCTACTTTTTAAGTGCTGACTTGATTTTGCTTGGGAAGATCTGGTTTCCTAAGTCACATCCGGGCTGTCTGTCTGGAGCGTGGATGGTGTTCCCAGGTGGCCACAAGACCATGTTGATAAATACAGAAACATCCCAGTGCCGACGGTGTCCCTGCAGCGCTGATGAAGAGGACAGCAAAGCGGCCCAGCCCTGCAGCCTCAGGACCACGAGGACCAGCCAGGATGGCGGGAGGACAGGGAAGCTGCCGTGCACCGAGCAGCGCCCCCACTCCCGGAGAATAACACACCGCTGGGCTGCAGTGAGGAGCCCCTCGCTCGCCCCCTCCTACTCAGATACAGAAGCTGCCCCCGACTCCAGGGGGTCCCGGCGCTGCCCCCCAGGTCGCACTCTGTTTCCCTGCTCCAGCCCCGCTGACCGCTAACACTTGAACACATTTCCTACGTATCTTAGGATTACTTCCGTTCGCCACACGTTGGACTCATGTGCGCCTCTCATCTCCCTTTCTACCCTGTGACTCTTTGAGAACTGCCCTAGTGGATTCATTTTTTAAAAAAGGTATTGGGGTGAAATTCACATAAAACAAAACATTTTAATAAAAGTGAGTAATTTAGTGGCACCTAGTACATTCACGAGGTCGTGCAACCAGCACCTCTCTGGTTCCAGCACATTTCCATCCCCTGGGATAGAACCCCAGGCCCTTGAAACTGTTCATCCCTGTGCCCCTCCCCAGCCCTGGCAGCCAGCAGCAGCTCTGTCTGTGAACTCATCTATTCCTGACATTTCATGTTCACGGGATCACACGAAGGTGGCCCTTTTGTCCAGCTCCTGTCCCTCCATGAATATTCTTAGCTGCACTGCTCACGATGGCCAAACAGCAGAGACAACCCAAGTGCCCATCAACAGATAAACCAACTGTGGTCTATCCGTACAACGGAGCGTCATTGAGCCGAGAAAAGGAAGGGTGTTCTCGAACTTGCTAGCCAGGGGCTCAGGAGAAGAGCCTGATGCTAGTGCGGTGCCTGGTATGATCCGTAAGCACTGGTTGATCAGACGACCAGATAGATAATGCATTCTCTTCTGATTCTTTCACGTCAACCTCCCTGATGTTCTGTCTGATGCATGTATATTTGATATCTGTGCTTGTGTCACGAGTCCAGGGGGCCTTTGGGAACTTCCCAGCTCCCGCCGCAGGGTTCTCAAGCCCTTGCCTGTTCTTGGTATCTTCTCGGCTTGGACTTGGCACCCAGACTTACACGCAGGGAACAGAAGTGGGCACTTGGGCTAGTCCTCTTTCAGGTAAGACTGGCGAGGAGGAGTCTGGAAAGCAGCCGTGCCCACTTACAAGGCTGCCCCCCAGATTTAGTGAAGGGAGGTGGGGACCAACCGCCATTCCACATGGAGGAAGTGTCACCAGCAGTCCCTGACCCCGGTCGATCACGTCAGTAAAGATGGACGCCTGTGCCCGCTCCACCATGATTCCTGACCCTCCCCACCAATCCTCAGGCAGTTTTCATCCCAGGAGGCTGGACAGCAAGGAAGGAAACTTCTCAAACGTTCTCCCCTGTTCTTTGCTGGGATGTGCAGAGCGATGAGGACAGAAAACAGCAGTGCTGAGAGCTTTGCTGTATTGGGGCAGTTTGACCTGTTTTGTTGGGGCAGAGGGCGTCTCCGTCAGCCTCGCCCGACCTCCTCGAATCTCAAGCCCCCAGAGCCTGGCTAACGCGCATTTCTGACCCGCGTCGGGACGGGACACCCAGGGGTGGCTCTGAGGCCAGCTCCCCAGGAAGGCTCAGGCCACACGGCAGTGGGGCCGGCCTCACACAGGACACCCCGAGAGCACGTGGAGAGAAACGGACTACAAGCAGTCTCCTTCCCTCTGGCCACGGTAGAGCAGACTGGGCAACTTCTCTGGACTCGTCACAATTCTCCAAAAGGCCAGCCCTCTAACTGAGCCCTGAGATCTCCCCACGGAAGATGTCACGACTATCTCCCGTGGCTCTGTGCTTCGCCGGTGGTGCTCGAGGCCACGGGGAGCAAGGGCAAGATGGGCTGAGCCGCCCGCCGCCCCCCCGGCGCAGGAAGCTGTGCGGCTCCGTGGGGCTGTGAAAACCCGGGAAGCCAGCGCGCTGGTGGCTGGCGCGGGCGGAGAGCGTGGGGACTCAGGCGTGGGGGAGTTACCTGTCTGTGGAGCCAGGCTTCGCTTTCATCCTCGTGTTTCTGGAATGAGATACAAGCATTAGAGAAAAGGATTGCGTTTGCATGTTTCGTGTCTGTGAGCAGCAGTGCTTAAAGCCCCTCCACGGTGGCCGCGCAAGCAGACGGGGCTGTGGCCCGGGCAGGCGGCGTCCCGGCTCTCCACCGTGTCCCCGCTGCGACTCGCAGCCCCGCACACGTGTCCCCGAACCAGGCAAACGCCACTCGCCCCAGCAACGGGGACGTATCCAGGGCGGGCAGGAGTCCCTTGGAAGACGGTGCACGCCTACCCCTGGGGCCCTCCCTGTCCACGTAGGCGCCCACTTAAAGGCAAACCTCAGGTGCCACACTGTTGCAGGGATTTGCGTGTGTGCGTGTGTGCACGCGTGTGGACATTTCTCACATGTCCAGTTCGCAGCTCTGAAGAACAAGCCTGGTAGCCCAAAACATTAAAAGGACTGAAAATGTATATGAAAAGTCAATCTCCCAGGACCGTGTGGAAAGATGCACAATGGAAGACAAAACGAAACAGGAACCACCAGCATGACGGCTATGCAAGAGGGGGGCCCTGCTCCCGGTGCTGGTCTGGCCTCCAGCTGCTGGGGGTGGGGGGGTGGGGGTTCTTCTGTCCGTGGACCAGCGGCAGGAAGGGGCTACTTTGCTGACATGCACAGGTCGGGGCACAGAAGAGACAAGGTGTGGATAACCAGCAATTCCCAGCTTCCTGGCTGCGTGTCTACTCCTTCCCTTCTTCCCTTCCGTAAGCCCATCAGCATAACCCAGAATCTGCTCTTGATCACATTGAGAAGGAGGCACATCCCCGACCCACGGGAAGACAGCAGATCCCTGAGCTCACCTCGATGCCGTGCTTGGTGTGGCCAGAGTGCCTTCAAGGCCCCCCAAGCCGCAGCAAGGCTGCTCTGCAGACTTGGGGAATAAAAACGTGTGGTCCTAAAAGGAGTTCCTGAAACACCTGCCTGGATTGGTTAATGGAGTTTAATTGATTTTTTTTTTTAACCTAGCACTAGGAGGTCGGCCTCTTAGGGCTCGACCTGGAGTGCGGAGATCCTGAGCCCCCAGGGAGGAGGGTGTGCTTGCTGCAGGCTGGGGGGCAACGGCGGGGCCGTTCCCTTGCTCTGCCCAGTGGCCAGGCCTTGTTTGGATTTCCATTCTTTCTCGCTTCCTGTGCGTATTTTCCATTTTGTCTTCCGCACGTTCATCTGCCTTCTCTCACTTCACACTGAGTCAGCCTGAGAGCCCTAGAAACACTGCTGGCCTCAGCAGATGCCGGCCCACCCAGGCGCTGACCCACCCAGGCGCGCTCCGGCTCGGGTGGGCGGGAGGACAGAGCCAACCAAAGGGGGAGGCCGGGCAGAGTGCTGGCCCCCCCTGGGTCCCAGGGCCTCAGGCCACCCCTTCCCCTCCCTGATGTCCCCTGGAAAACGAGGGGAATGCTCGTCGTGAGACCGCAGCGGGCACAGGTAAAGGGGAGTAACGCATCCATAGGCTGCCGCGGGCGCACAGGTCCCAGGACGGGACTCCTGGGGCGCCGAGCGCTCCGCCGCGAGTTTTGCAGCAGGGCACAATTCATGCACAAGGTGGCAGCAAAGCGGAGCCCCGCGGGCAGGCTCCCGCGCAGGGGGCGCGCCCTGAGCGGTGCCCCCGCCCAACCCGCCCCTCCGCCCCGCGCCTCCGCTGCTCGGGCCGTCGGTCCTTGACCCCGCCCGTACCTTTGTGCAGACCCCAGTGGTGGCGTCGCAGAGGGTGAGGATGGACACGTTCTGCGCCCGGCTCAGCCAGTTGACGGCCACCTTGGTGCTGGTGGCCCACTTCACCATGGTGATGTAGTACTCCCTGGAAACACGCAAACACGCGAATTACTGCTCTCGCCCGCGCACGCCAGCAGCCGGGCACAGGCCAGCCCTGGACGCTGGGGCCGGAGGTGGGGGCGCGCCGGGCATGGACCGACCGCGAGGCTCTGGAGCGGGCCTTCCCGGCCGTGGGCGTTGATGCCGAGCGCTGCGGGGAAACTAAGCCCCGAGGCGCGGAAGTGCGGTTCTGTCTGGGCTGCTCCCCGAACCACCGCTGCCGTCTGTCTGCCAGAGGGCGGCCCGCCTCGGTGCCGCCCCGGGGTTTGTGACTCAGCCTGCAGCCCAGGCTGATCTACTGGCTTGACCTTGCCACAGCCCGGGGCCAACGCACACGTCCAGCTCCCTGGAGGCAGCAAGGGGTCCCAGAGGGGCCGGCGGGGCGAGAACCGGGAGGGCCTTGGGGGGAGAGGCCCCCGCCGAGGGTGCGATGCCGGAAAAACGCGCGCGCACGCCGAGGAAGGCTGTGTCCCTTTCCCCCTGCTGCGAAGGCAGAACACCCAGGGACATTCGCCAGCTAATTAGGGAGACTGGTTCATGGCTCCGGGCATCAGGCAGATTCCGTCTGATACTCCAGATGTCACACACCTGCTTTCACCCAAACCTGCGAATGCCGCAGTGTTCTAGGCTACCCTGTACTTAGCATGGGGGGCACTGGGGCTTCCGCTAAGTGAGTCAACCACCCAGAGCCCTTCCAGCACGGGATTTCTAGGGAAAAAAAAAAAAAAAAAAAAAAAATATATATATATATATATATATACACACCTTTAAGAGGAAGAAGAAAATACCAAAAATACAACGGTACAGAAAGGCTATCCCTGGGTGAATTCCAAGAATGTTCTAGAGGCCAGCTAACCCTGTTCCGTCACCTACCCCATCTATATCTATAATGAGATCTATTGTTCAGAAGGATTACTTTGTGGTCTTACAAGATCCTTTATCACTAAAGATAGCAGCACATTCTCTAGACAATGACTAGCAAGCTGGAAAGGCACGTGGGTTCGCCCAATGATTACTTTTCAACAGAAAGGCCTAAATCACCAGGTGCTTTCAACTAAGCTTGGGTTAAGTAGGAGAGGAGATTAAATTGCTGTGTCCTCTATTTCTCGAATCCACCTGTTAATCAAAACTTTAAACAACCTAAGTCAAGAGCTGACTCAGGCTGTCACCTCCCGCGCGGGGGGTGGGGGAGGCCCTGGCTGCCCATCCAAGTCTTGGCCCACCTACTCGGGACGTGGCTGGTGAGGATGTCATTCAGGCATGATCCAACTTTTATGATTTTCAACCTTCTCAATTGCTGTGATTTTTGAAATAGGGCTGGATCTGCTCATACCATCTGCTCAGCAAGCCCCCAGGCCTCGGGGACCTGGGTCCGTGTGTGTACAGGATCTGCTTTCTCACACAACACCGTCAGGCTCCTGCTCTGAAAAGGAGCGTGGCCTCTCAGCAAGTCCTCTGAGGATGCTGCCCTGCCCGAGGGCTCAGAGCCCATTTCTTTGATCGGCTCCCTGAATATTTATAGGCACAAAAATATTTAGCTTGGCCCTTCAGAATAACTCAGGGTCTGGGCCCAGCCCTTGCTTCATGTATAATACTTCTTATTTTTAAATTGCAACATAAACGATCCTTGGGTCCCTGCTCGGTAGATGCTAGAGACTGCTAGCTGGAGGGGCCACGGGGACGGATGCGAGCAAACTCCTGTCTTCCTTGACCGTGGGGCCTGTCGGATGCAGACATCCATATTGAGGGTGTGGTGTGGGAATTCACAGTGATGAGCAAACATATTTCATCTGGATAAAACCAAGGAGGAAAAAGTCAGATCTCGTGGAAGGACTAGTTGTTTTTTTTTTTTTTCCCCACGGCCTTCACACTGGTTAGGGAGGACCCCTTTCTTGGAAACATTCACGAGTCCTATGTGTCTTTCTAGGTTTTATGGTGTTGTTTTGCACAATCTTCATATCGACCAAATAGAAGTCTTTCTTTTACTTTCCTAATTTGTGATCTGAGGCATGCTGTAGAAAAGAAGAAATAATTGCACGACAGATCAGGACAGTTAAACCTGGACCCACTTTGTTTAGTTGTGTGGACCTTGGCGGGGCCCCCGATGAAGGACAGGTGCAGCGCCCACCAGGGGTGGGTGCCCGCGGGCTTTGCTTCTATACCTTACTTCACGTGCAACTTGAATCCTCAGTTCCTCATCTGCGTAATATGAATTTCAAACAAACTGATGGCACCCTTAGAGATTTTATGGTGATGAAATCTAATGAACTCTTGAAACAATAAAAATTATTAAGGACTCCATAAAGATGACATAATATATCTCTGTATCAGTAGGTGGCACTGCTTCACTGCTGGGCGGTTACTGGGCCTCCAGCCGTGCTGCCGATGGTCAAAACACTGGTCTCTTTCAGGACCTCACACCGATCTCATTACTCGTACGGCAACATCTCATCTCGAACCAACATTTCCTCATCCCATGAACTGCATCAATGACTGGGCTTCATGCCAAGTAAGTTCTGGCGATTTAAAAAATCAAGTCAAATTGCAAAGATAAAGCACGATCAGGGATGGGCGATTTAAAAGGAGCGATGATCTCCAGAGCCTCACAGAGAAGTGACACTCTGGAAAGAAGGACACTCTTCCACTACGTAAGATTCCATATGTTCGTGGAAAGGAAAATACAAACTTTACCCATTTCTGAAATTTTCCTTAAGAAGAATCCAGGAGTAGATAAGAAAGTTCTCTTGGTTCCTTACACACTTTCCATTTTCTCTAATTACAAAGCTGTTGGTTATATGCGGGCTACGGGGCTGCGGGCAAGGACCGAGGCCAAGTCTGTCAGGCTACTCCTGGTGGTTTAGGGGGAAGGACTGATTGATTGTTCTGTTTCGATGTTGACTGCACGGACACATGGGGATTTCCAGCACACAGTAATATCTGGTTGGCAAATCTGAGGTAGCCTTTACCAACTTTGTGTCAATTTGCCTCTAAACCACAAAAAAAGACACAAAATCACAATACCCCCAAAAGTGAGTGTTGAAAATCTCCAGCAACCATGACACAGCTGGAGAAGCATGAAACCATAAAACGGGCGGCCCAGCCCATGCTTCACTCTATGAGGCGAGCAGCAGCCAGGCAGGAGAATATGATTCTCCTCCCCGGGAACTCATCCTTCCTCAGAAACCCTGACCTTGCACCACCCAGAAATTTGGGAAGTCAAACCTTTGCTACCTCACTGTTACAGAGGATCATGATTTTTCATAGATGCATAATGACTTAGAATGTCAAAAATAAAAAAATTCTAAAGAAGGTGGAAGAAGACGCTCAAGTCTGCCCAGGGAGCACACCAGATGGAGAGGTTAGACTCTGTCTTCCGATTCCATCTGAGAGGTTCAAGCAGCCCCCAAATTTCAGAGTCAAAAATAACCCTCCCGTGGCGTCTGCTACCAGGTGTCAGGCATGCGTGGATGTCTCCTTCCTGGTGTGGAGAACGGCAAAGGTCGTCATACAACACAGATGGAGGGAAGGGGGAATTACGCTGACAACATAAAAGCAGAACATATTGGGGCGCCTGGGTGGCTCAGTCGTTAAGCGTCTGCCTTCGGCTCAGGTCATGATCCCAGGGTCCTGGGATCAAGCCCCACATTGGGCTCTCTGCTCGGCGGGAAGCCTGCTTCTCCCTCTCCCACTCCCCCTGCTTGTGTTCCTGCTCTTGCTATCTCTCTGTCTGTCAAATAAATAAATAAATAAAATCGTTGAAGAAAAAAAAAAGCAGAACATAACCCTAAGAATATAAGATGAGGGCGCCTGGGTGGCTCAGTTGGTTAAGCGACTGCCTTCGGCTCAGGTCATGATCCTGGAGTCCCAGGATCGAGTCCCACATCGGGCTCCCTGCTGGGCGGGGAGTCTGCTTCTCCCTCTGACCCTCCCCCCTCTCATGTGCTCTCTCTCATTCTCTCTCTCAAATAAATTAATAAAATCTTTAAAAAAAAAAGAATATAAGGTGAGATGAAGAGGGGAGATGAAAGACTCTAGGGAAACCAAATCCAAAGGTGAGAGAAATTGGACTCAGAGAAACTGAGGAAAATTTGGGAAGCTCTCCCAGAAGGCAGAGGAAGGCGAAAGGAAGGAACAGGGACTGTCCTCCTGTCCGAGGCCGTCAGAGCTTCCTGCAGAGAAACCACAGTGATGGGGAGAGGAACCATCTCCCAAACTCAGAGACGAGATGGCAACGTGCGCACAACAGGATCTGAACGTGCAGGTGAGAAGGGTTTTCCATATTCCAGGGAGGTTAATAAAATGCCTAAATATGTTCTGATAGAATATTTGAGTTCTAAGGGAAGAGAAATCTCACTATAACCTAGTAATAAGGAAATATGTTTTAACAAATGATCAAAATTTAGGCGGATATCAAATTTCTCTACTGTTCTAGGTTGAGGGGGTATTTAACATTTCGGTGTTTTTAATAAGCAGTATCTTCTACTTGAATATACCCTATACTGAAAAAAACTCAAAAGGCTCAAAATTAAAAGCTAGGCATGTAAGAAGATAATCCCTAAAATAAATCATCCATAGATAGTCCAAAACCACTATTAATTTGATTACAAATTTGAAGTAAATATCAGAAGTGATTATTAAGTGACAAAAACATTGTGAAATAAAAGAAATATTGGGTGATTATCTCATAGAATTATAAATATTTAGCAAGTTTTCAAAGCACATTAAAAACAAAAGGTAGCATAATATTCCATTGTATATATATACCACATCTTCTTTATCCATTCATCTGTCGATGGACATCTTGGCTTTTTCCACAGTTTGGCTATTGTGGACATTGCTGCTATAAACATCGGGGTGCTGGTGCCCCTTTGGATTCCTACATTTTTATTTTTGGGGTAAATACCCAGTAGTGCAATTGCTGGGTCGTATGGTAGCTCTATTTTCAACTTTTTGAGGAACCTCCATACTGTTTTCCAGAGTGGCTGC